AAAATAACCCTGGGAGATTAGTGTAAGGTACTCATAAGGAAAATATTTTAAAAACTGATTATGAATTTATTTTATTTATTTGTTGACTGGTAAGTTGAATCACTTGTTGAATTGTTGTTGCATCACTGTGCCTTGCAAAGTTTATGGACTGGGAACTGTTTATCCGGCGTTTACATTGATGTCTTCTGCGAGTGATTTAGAGTCTGAACCGCGATGAGCGATGGGCCGCTAACAACAACGGGCCCAAAGATCACGTGTTACATAAATCGGCCTGAGCCGTCGAAAGTGAACTGAAAACGCGTCAAACGGGACAAACGCAGTTCGCCTGCGATCTCTTTACGACGGGTTTCGGCGAGATTTAAATTTACCTGTCCCATTGCAGACCCATTCGCGTTTTATTCACTTCATGGAACTGCTATTCATCCTTTAAGATTTGCATGGATTTGTTTAGAGTCTTTGGGCTTTTTGATGAATATAATGCATTTGCATTATTGGGTATGCCAGGTACAGTGGCCGCCAAAAGTATAGACACTTTTAATAAAAAGTATAAAACTATAAATTTTCCACTTTTAATGATTAATATCTCCGAAACTATCAGCCCAAAAGGTATAAATCTGCATGTTGCATAAATACTAGACTGGGCCAAAAAAATTAACTATTTTTTTTTTAATATATCGAGAATGTCATTCAGAATGACAAAAAAAAAATTTAGTGAAAATTTGAGCCCTTAATATTAATTTTAAGAGGTCTATCATCGCTATTTTTGATTTTTAGTCATAATTTGATGTTTTACGTTAGAATTGTCAAAACAAATTCATGTTCACTTATTTTTATATAAAATTAAATTCTCTACCAAAAAGGTATGATTGAAAATTTTCGTCAGACCAGCCGTTTCTGAGTAATTGAGCTTAATAAATCGATGTGTTTTTTCGATTTGCCCTTTTTATTTTGAAATTTTGTAACTAATGAATCAATGAATATTTAAAAGCTCAAGTCGTATTCTTAAAGAAAATTTAATGCTCTACAAACAATATCTCTCAACATTTTTCCCTAAATTTAATTCTTCAAAAGTTATTCACGAAGAAAAAATTGAATTTTTCTTCGATTTTAATAGTGAATAACTTTTGCAGATTTAAATTTAGGCAAAAATGTTAAGAGACCTTTATTGTAGAACATGAAATTTCCTTTAAGAATCCGACGTGAGCTTTCTTAAATATTCGTTGGTTCATTAGTTACAAAATTTCAAAGTTAAAAGGGCAAATCAAAAAAATACATCAATTACTCGGAAACGGCTCGTCTGACAAAAATTTTCAATCAGACCTTTTTTGTAGAAAATTTAAGTTTATATTAAAATAAGTGAAAAGAAATTTTTTGCACGTAATGTTTTGACAGTTCTAACGTAAAACATCAAATTATGACTAAAAATCAAAAATAGCGATGATAGACCTCTTAAAATTAATATTAAGGGCTCAAATTTTCACCAAATTTTTTTTGTCATTCTAAATGACATTCTCGATATATTTTTCAAAAAAAAAAATAGTCAATTTTTTTGGCAAAGTCTAATAAATACTATAATTATACAACAATTTTTGATAATTTTACTAAAAAAAATACAAAAACAATATATTGAATAAAAACATTTTTTTAATAAAAAAATACCCAGCTGTTCCAGTCCAAATAAAGAAACAAAATAAATTTTATAGTTTTCCATTTTATAAATTATTTTTAAATCATAGATCCCAACAAAAATAAATATTGTTTCACACATTTTATTGTGTTTGTAATTAAACGTGTTTAATTTTCTTCAATAAAATTAATAAACAAAATTTTCGTTGTGGTACGCACCAACTGAGCAAACAAAAATAAAAAAATATTAACTAATATCTAGCCACCACGTTTCTCGGCCATAAATCAAGACTGCGGCACGGATTTATTATCATCTGGCATTATATATTTCCGTTTCTGTTTTGTTTCTATTGTTTGTTGTTTTTTTTTGGGCAAGACTAAAATTATTTTCATACAGTCTAATAATATCGTATTTATCATATGAGCCGCTTTCTAAAAATATTTTTCAATGCCATTTTTATATTTTATTAGGACAATAGAGCAACTGTTCTCCAATCTATTATTATTATAAAGAATAAATTCTGTCATAAATTGAAAATTATGTTTTTGGCTTTTTAAAACATTAATTTAGATTTTCTTGAAAATATAACTCATAGAAATTTCCACATAACAATTATAATTTTACAGCAACATTAACGTCAATGTTAAATTTATAACACAGATTAAAACTAAAATTTGTATAACTTGCTGTAATACCGAATGTTTACAATAATTTTTATTAATAATTAATAATAATAAATAGTGGAGGAACCATGGGGGACGCCAAAGGGGGCAGGCCAGCTGCCCCCCCATATACTCGAAAAAACGTAGTGATGACGTAATCGGCCGTTTTTTTTAATATAAACACTTTTTAATTTTGTCAAGACTTTTTAATATCTTTTAATAAAAACTATTGCACTTATACCTGTAGACTGGCATATTTTATTATTAAAATGGAATTTTTTCCAAGCTTTCTTAATAAATTTTAAATTATCTTACTTCAGTTAAAGACATTAAGCCATTGCTCATTTTATACACCTACGTAAAAATGACTTAGGTATATCGTAAGCTATACGTTGTTTTAATTAAGATTATTACTGATAGATAAGAAGTTAACATATTCTTCTTAGATGAGTTATACTTCATTTGATATGTTGCCTTTGCAACACACGCTATACTCATTGGTGGTACATAAAAACATTCTTGAAGATAAAATTAAGATATTTCTCAACTTATTGTGTCGGTTTTTCCTGCCATACATCCTGCTGGCGATAGTTATAAGAATTGCCCATCTGTTTGGTTTTCGATGGTCCTTTTTTCTTAAATAATCGCAGGTTGCCAAAACGCCCACGTCTACTAAATATACGCCCGGCACTCGGCCAATATTCTCCTCCATTCACTTTGTATAAATTCACAAGTTTTACTCCACTGCTGCAGATGATTATTCCTGCTGCCCTGCTGACGCCTGCATACTTGCAGGTTCTCTCTTGGCTTCGAGCACCTCGTAAATATGGCCACAACAACGCCTTGCTTTAATTAATTGGCGCGAAAATGTCGACAGAAGCTAATTTTGGAAGTAACGATTTCATCTGATTCAGCACGTCAAATGTTTGAAAACCTAAATATTCATTTGGAGATCTAGGGCATGACCTTAGGATTTTTTGTGACATTTCATGGTTATTCATTGGACACCCCTTAAGGAATAAAGTCAATGTTCTTGCATTACTATTTTCAAGATCTCTCCATGAAGAGATGTTGTGCAGATTCTTTGTCTTTATCAAAGAATCTGCAGGATGTGGTTTAACCTTTAGTAATTTCGTCAAAACGTTTTGAGTTTTTTCTGTTTAGAAGCAAAATGTCTTTTTCCAATATGCGCTTGGACTGTTTTAGACTGTTCCAAAGAAGTTTCTGGACCTCTTGGTTTTCGGCTTCTTTATTTCCCCGAATACCTGAATAACCTGGTGACCAAATAAGGTTGTTCCATTTACCAGTTGCTTTAGACACTCGTGACATCCTATAACTAACTTTTTCGCAATTTTTTTTTAAATTTGCTATAAAATCTAAATATATAGATTGTCCACATGAAACCTGGGATTGCGTCCCAGTGAGTTGGTCATTATCACGACGTGATGTATCACTTCCGGTGCCTGTTAATTACTGGATCAGGCAAGTGCGCGGGAAGCGGGGAAGAACAAGAACTCGCGGTGTTAAGAATACTGCAGGAGGTCGATCATCTTTGCCACGCCGTCCTTGTTATTTAATTCGGAATCTCGAACCATTTGCTTCTTTTTCCAAAACGGCCTTTGAAGTTATGTTAGATCGCTTGAGTGTTTATGGTTAATATGTACGGCTATCACGTAACGCCAACTTTTACATAATGAATGTGCGCCTTTATAAAATCGTTTTGCTCAGTGATTGATTGTCAGACACTGCGAGGCACAAACAAAACAAGACCGCTTCCTTCATTCATGGGTTTTGATCAAGATCCACTACCTCGAAATAGAATGCATCTTTGTCGTCTTATATCATCCTCTTTTTGTTTAGATTTAAGCCATAATCTTTTACGTCTTACTTCATCAATTAACACCTTTTGGACAAATTGTATATCGGAAACAAGTATGAATTTATGTTACAAAACCATTAAATTTTTAAATTAATACATCTCAAATGCTTCAAGAAATGACAACAAACACGTCTAGGTGTGTGGTTCAGGCCGTCAACAAAAATAGCAACGGTCGAAACTGTGAAAAAATAAAACAAAATAATCATTTAGAAATGCAGTTTGGGTGGGTTCGTTTGTTGAACGGAAACACGAAATGAATGAAGTGTATATTTTCGAATTTTATTTTAATACGTTATTAGCAGAGAATTGTCGCAGGGGAAAGTTGGCAACGGCTCATGCTACCAGCATCTTTGCTCTTATAAGAATAAGAAGAAAATGAAAAAGTGGATATTTCAAAGTGCACTATGTAAAAACAGCACATTTTAATGGATAGCTACACAAACGAGTAGAAGATATTTTGTTATTAAAACCCATTTAATTAACTATGTTTAACATTCTCAAATACACACATTAAGCTATTAAAATACATTTCTTAATGGACGTATTATTAATATGGATCCATTACAATTTCTTATCTAAAATAGCACTCTACTTTGATCTTAATAAGTCCAATTTATCAATTGTGTTAAATGAAATGAATCAATGCCAAAATGTTGACAAATTAGTTGTTTGGTTTGGAAATGAAATTAATTAACTTTTAACTTTTTAACACATATTGTTTGAGTTCATAAATTATGTAAATCTTTGAATTATTTAAATATCGACATTTTATTAAAAATATAGCTACTACGCAATAGAAAACATTTTAACAATTCTTCTTCTTCCTTTTCAGTCAACGCAGCTTGCAAACGAGACCCAAAAACAGTTGGAGCTGCAACGTCGCCAGCAGGAGCATCTCCTGCAACAGCAGCAAAAGCTGCAGGAACTTCAAGGTCAGCTTTCGGCTCAGTATGCAGCAGGAGGCGCCGTTAATCAGGGGCTTATGTTCCTGCCGTTTCTGGAACAGCTCAGGAATATGCAGGGACCACAGGCTATACCTCCCAATGTCGCAAAGGCCGCTCTTACCAACCACGTGAGTTTGATTTTTCCAATATTTTCTCCTGCACGGTCAAAAAGCATTTTGAATGAGTTTTTTTATGTTGTCTAAAGCTCCAATGATGTGTGGGCCTTTTGGGTGGCTTCAATATACACATAAAGCTCTCCTTTAAAATATATTTTTACGAATCTAAAATGTATAAATATAAGTTGACATTTAATTTATTTAAATTAGACATTCCTTCTTATAAATTATCAATAACTCCCACGAAATATATAATTAGAAAATAATTACACCATTTTCATTAATAAATTACAATTTTTTCCAATCTTACATTCTTTATAAGCATCATTCATCAAAATAAAAAATTAATTAATCTCAATATTCCAACCTTAACGTCCATTTAATGAAGCCCATTACGTTTGCAGGTAACCTGTTATTAAGCAACTAGCATTAAACTATTTGCACTTGTTTTTTATGGTCACTTTCTACAAGATTACATTCACCTGTGATTCTCTTGTTTAATTTACATAACAGAATTTTTGGTACACCGAGCGCCATCTCTGTTGAGAGAGTAGAACTAACTCTGTGCTTACTGCTAAGATAACAGAAATCTTATACCTGAGTATCGGAACAATTTTATGAATTTATAATTTTCGAAGAAAACTTTATACACAGTATACTGGGCATATGGGCATTCCATGCCAAATCGGACACAATTTAGCTTTTGTATCTTGGATTATTTTGAAACTTCTCTATTTTTAAGTAGAGGTTGAAAGAGGCCTCCATGATTTTTTTTTTCAAACGCCCATAACGCGAAAAATGATCTAAATAAAATTTTCATATATATATTTTCATATATATAAGAACATAAAATCATTGTTTTCGAACATACTTTTCGTAAAAAATACCAAAAAAATATTTTGAAGCAAGCTTCTATTAGAATTTTTACTTTTAAGCACAAATTATCGATTTACAAAAAACGCGTACTGATCGATTTTTCTCAAAATTTTTCTCAACAAACTGTCACCTATTCTACAACTTTTTCGGCCATGATCATAGTGGGACAACGACGGGATCTATTTTTTTCCGATTTTTCAAATTTTTATGATAATTGCCCAATGATATTAAAGTCTGTGATAATATTAAAAAATTTAAGATGTTACTTAGAACATATGTGTTAATAATGTTTTAATGTTTGTTATTGTACTTTCTACATTTATTTATATATTTTTAAAATTTCTCATGTTGTTATGTTTTTTAAAAATGTAAACTTACCCATTTGTCTATTTTATTAATTTTAATCTTAATTTACTTTGTGTTTCTTATGTAGCTTTTGCTAAATAAATATTATTATTATTATTAAAAAATGTCCAAAATAAAATTCTATGGTCAGGATTTACTGTAGATAATTATTTGAGACACAATTATCATGGCATTTATTTTTTTAGACATTTTTTAGACATTTTTATCACAAAAATCTGAAAGGTCAAAATTGAAAAATCAGAAAAAAATAGATCCCATCGTTGGCCCACTATGATCATGGCCGAAAAAGTTGTAGAATAGGTGAGAAAAATCGATCAGTACGTGTTTTTTGTAAATCGATAATTTGTGCTTAAAAGTTAAAATTCTAATAGAAGCTTGCTTCAAAATATTTTTTTTATATTTTTTACAAAAAGTATGTTTGAAGACAAAGATTTTTTGTTCTTATGAAAATTTCATTCAGATCATTTTTCGCGAAGTTATGGTCGTTTGAAAAAAAAATCTCTGAATTTTTCAAAAATCGAGATCTCGAAAACGGTTGGAGAAAAAAATTTGAAAAAAATCATTCAACCTATACTCCATCATAGAAAAGTTTCAAAAAAATCTAAGATACAAAAGCTAAAAAAAATAAAAATGCAGACTAAATATTAATATTATTTCAGATGCTCCCCCCACAAGTCCCAGGCTGGATCTCCGCCACGGCGCACCTGGCTCAGATGTCCGCCACCCCCGAGAAACGCTCGCCGCCCCCGCAACGCACCCCATCCCCCCGAGCTCCCCCTTCGGACCCCGACGCGCCCCTCAACCTCTCCAAACCGAAAAGCATTGGCGGTTCGGCGGGCTCCAGCCCTCAGGCCACCCCCACGAGTTTCGGCAACCCCTTGGAGCAGCATGTGGATGCGTCCGCGCCCAAGTTGCTGCCCCCCAGTATGGTGATGCCCCGCGCGTTTTTGCCGTATCTGCCCCAGCAGTTTCCTCAGCTAGGCGGAGGTGAGAGGAATAAGCACAAGGACGGAATGGGCGCGGAGAAACAGACCCATTTTCCCCTGCATATGCCGTATGGGCTCCCTGGTGGCCCCCATATGCCCGGAGGGCCGAGACCCAAGGAGGATGTATTGAAGGAGGAAGGCGATTTCATGGCTGCTTGTCATTGTAAGTCCGATAAAACTTGTCGATGTAAAATTTTATTAAATATTAAACTCTTCTTCTTTTTCAGTATGGGGACAAGACAACAACTACAAAATGGACGAGAACTCGGATAAGGCTAAGATAATCCGGCAGCAGGCCAAACGTGATAACGAGAACAAGCCACACATAAAAAGACCGATGAACGCGTTCATGGTGTGGGCAAAAGACGAGCGAAGGAAGATTCTGAAGGCCTGCCCTGACATGCACAATTCCAACATATCGAAAATCCTGGGCGCCAGATGGAAGGGGATGTCGAACTCCGAGAAACAACCTTACTACGAGGAACAATCCAGGTTATCGAAGTTGCACATGGAGAAACACCCCGACTATAGATACAGGCCGAGGCCTAAGAGGACCTGTATTGTGGATGGAAAGAAGATGAGGATATCGGAGTATAAGATGCTCATGAGGCAGAGAAGGCAGGAGATGAGGCAGCTGTGGTGTAGGGATGGAAGCGATATGAACTTCCCGATGCCGGATGGTTCGTCACCTGCTACATCCACATCAGGTAGACCCTCAGTGTCGCCACCAGTAAGCTTAATGAACGGTGCTGGTCCAAGTTCAGAGGGGGGTTATTATTACCCTCAAGATTGCTCGACGCCGGACATGAATTTTTCCCAGGAACACATGGCTTACGACACGAGTCCAAGACATGACGACGACTGAAGGTGGTCGAAGAGGGACAAGTTCCCCTGGTATTAAAAGTGGACGTGGAAGAGGTTTTGTACAGTTGCTAAAAAGACATTTTTCATTGTGCCATTCAGCAAACTGAAATGCCAAAAGACTTTACTAAACAAAACAAATAGTCGGTGTTGTACTTGTATTGTTATGTAGATATATTGATAGCTTTAAGGTCCTAAGAAATCTTATTTATTTTATATTTTTAACTGTATTTCTTGTTTTTTTATTTGCTTTACATTGCATTACATTGATATATCACCAAACACTAATTCATCACATACAATTGTTAAATTATCTTATTGGATTTTATTCTAAACCAAAGTGTTTCTTCGTACTTATTTTCTTTTCATGTGCCAGTACATATGACTTAATATAGCTGGGTATTATTATCTGTGTAGTGTTTTGAGTGTGATATACTTAGACAGCTTTAAAATTATGTTGTTTTTGTTGATTTACGTTTGATTTGTTTGCAAATTAAAGCAAAAACAGTATTTGGTCTTCTATTATTTATTTTACAACCTATCTGCGGAATATTCTTGATATTCTGTTAGTAAATTTAGCTTTATTAGTTTAAAAAATGTATTAAGATAATAGTATGGTACAAATATCTATCTACAATAATAGAAGGGCTAGATTTTTTTAAATAAATGTGCAATGTACCTTATTAATCGTTTTTTTCTCAAACTGTTGATGTTTATATATTTTAATATAAGAGCCAGTACTTTAAGTAATTATTATTTATTATTAGTAGTTTTTTAAACAAATTATTGTACAAAAACACTCGAAATTTATGTTAATGGTTTAAATTTACAAGAAAGATTGTACTTAGTCATAGATATATAAAATAACCCATGTAATCCAATGTAGTACTTTATTACATTAGCAGAGGGGCGAAGCAAAAAAATCGGTTTTTTATAAAGAAAAAATTTAGGTCTTTAGGATTGTTGGTAATGTTAATTTTATTTTAGTTTTTGTAAATAGATGGGTTTTTTGCTTTGCTCCGATAGCCGTATATCTGGTATTTTTAAGTCTTACTGTCAAAAACATCGTAGGCTTTCCTATGTATCTTAAACATAGCACCTTCACATCATTTTTACTATTATTTTGAGTATAACCGCAATAAACATGTAGTGGAAAAAATACCACTTTTTCTAAAAGAAAAATTAAAAATATTCAGACATAACAGAGAGGTGTTAACAAATTGGATTAAAATAAGATAATGTACTTAAAAATCAAATGGAGTCAAGAATTGTATGTATAAAAATAAATTCAATAAATATGTGATACCTGGACTTAGGTATAGTTGTAAAAAATAGTTTATTATTATTATTATTATTATTACTTATGTCATGGTGTGCACGGACAATTTTATTAAGAGAAAATTTTGGGAATGTCTCGACGAAGTAAAAATTATGGAAATTCCAAAACGCATACGTAGGGCTAGTGAATGTGAATTTAAATAAAGCATTCTTTATTAAGTGTAACTCTTTCTCATATAGATAAAACTACAAAATGACAAATCCCATGTTATATTAGTTGATAGGCTCACTGTTCTTTTCTGTGCCAAAATCAAATAAATAAAATATATAAAGTGTAGCCTTCTGGTTTTATTTTTTACCCTGTCAACCCTAAAGATACCAAAACAAATGTTTATGTACAAAATGGAGAGCCATATTTTCCCCTAAATATGCGGTATGGGCTACCTGGTGGTCCCCATATGCCTATTAAAGGAGGAATGAGATTTCATGGCCACTTGTCATTATAAGTATAATAAAACTTGTTGATAAAAAAATTAAATAAAATATTAAACTCTTCTAATTTTTCAGTATGGGGGCAAGAAAACAAGTCGGATAAGGCTAAGATAATCCGGAAACAGGCCAAACGTGATAACGAGAACAAGTCACATAAAAATACCGATGAACGCGTTCATGGTGTGGGCTAAATACGAGCGAAGGGAGTTTCTGAAGGCCTGCCCTGACATGCACAATTCCAACATATCGAAAATCCTGGGGGCCAGATTGAGGGGGATGTCGAACTCCGAGAAACAACCTTACTACGAGGAACAATCCAGGTTATCGAAGTTGCACATGGAGAAACACCCCGACTATAGATACAGGCCGAGGCCTAAGAGGACCAGTATTGTGGATGGAAAGAAGATGAGGATATCGGAGTACAAGATGCTCTTGAGGCAGAGAAGGCAGTAGATGAGGCAGCTGTGGTGTAGGGATGGAAGCGATACAAACTTCCCAAAACCGGATGGTTCGTCACCTGCTACATCCACATCAGGTAGACCCTCACTAAGCTTAATGAATGGTGCTGGTCCAAGTTCAGATGGGGGTTATTATTACCCTCAAGATTGCTCAAAGCTAGACATGATTTTTTTTTCAGGAACACTAGGCTTACTATACGAGTCCAAGACATGACGACGACTAAAGATGGTCAAGAGGTCTGTGTTGTACTTGTATTGTATATGGATGGAAAGAAGGATATTAGAGTGTTAGATGCTCATGAAGCAGAGAGGACAGGAGATGAAGCAGCTGTGATGCAGAGATGGTGTTAAAAATACCATACCATTTAGAAAACTGAAATACATTTAATCTTAAAACATGACTAAATTAAAAAGCAATAACACATAGTCTATAATTAATTTTTTATGAAATATTTTACTCCCACGAAACAATAGGCATGCTTTTAAACTAATTGTTAGTCATTTGAAATTGCAAGTGCATAGTCAAGGTTGTGTATACAAGGGAAAGTTATTTTTCCTATCACAACTGAAGAAAACTGCATTGTAGTTGAAAATTATAATTTTTTAGTAACAATAAAAATGAAGAATTCTTAAATGTTTTTTTCTCACACGATAGTGTCAATTAATTATTTATATGAACAGTTTTTAGATCACCTAATTTGCATAAGAAGGTATACCAGTTTTTTATATGGACAAATTAATGTTTATGACAACAATAACTAATAATCTAAATATACCTTGTCCTTGTGGTCCCATAAAACATCGATCCTCAATGCGAATGGAAAAATTGGTTCAAAAGTATTGATATTTTTGAAGAATATAATATTAATTGCAGCCTACGATGATACAAACATGAATTAAATTTTTTACTTCAGTGATTTTAAAAGCAACTTTTAAACTCTCAATTAGGATCTCTTTAAAATTATGCAATTATTTTATAAACAATAACAAAAACAGAATAAATTAATAATTATTATGATTAAAAGTGTTTCATGTCGTTCTGCCATTGAAAAGTTACTTACCTGTTGAATAACTTACATAAGAAATTCGTTTCCTTACATCCATTTAAATGGTAAATTATAATTATTCTTAAAATGGCTAATTAATCTTATATAATGTAAGGTATACGTCTTTGCCAATTAAGTAATTAGTTTAATTTTTTTTATAAATTCGCATTAAACATCGACATGTATTTAACATAATGATGCAGCGGCATGTAACTTGTTAAAATTAATTAGAAAAAAATTGATATCTCCTAAACTATCAGCCCAAAAGGTATAAATGTACAACCCCTAAAACGATAATTTTGTAATACAATTTTACTCAGGATGGTTAAAAAATAAGGTCAATTTTGGAAAAAATCATTTTTTTAATCACTAACGTAACCTAGAAAAATACTTAATTAATATTATAATTTTGACCCAAATATAAATTTATGCAAATCCAATATATATATTTAATATTGAAGAATCCTTTCATAACTAAGTAATTTAATTTTCGAAAAAAACTGGTTGCAACATGGTATTTCGAATGCCACTCTAACCGCAGACAAATCGATGGGTATACCTTGAAAGTGCAAAAACCGCCCACCGACAATTTCGTATATGGGATTGTTGGACACGATGCTCATATGTTAAACCAGTTTATTACTCGCTTCAACATAAATCTGCAATTGATTACCAATGGGTTACCAATCGTATTACAGCTAAAATAACGTTTTTCCACATTGTACGCAATATAACTGTTACTTAAAAGTGTATATTTATTGATGCCTTTCTATGCCCTTAGTGATGTTACATTTACAGGACATTCTATTCTGTTTTCGTTAACATTTACCAAGAAAATTATGTTGTATTAAGCTTTGAATAAATCACAGGAAGATTGTTTTACCTGCCTCAAAGTTTTATTTAACGTAAATATTAACTAAAATGTTTATAAATTTATATTGTATAAATGTCAAAGATTTTCTTTATGTTAACAAATGTAAATTAAATCGAATTTCAAGGCGACAATCCCCAAATGTTGCATAAAATCGTTTAGCAGTTAAATAAAAAGCACTTTTCGAGTTTTAGGTCATTCAATTAATCAACAAAGGTACCAACAAACAAATTCAGATTAAATTTACGTAATGTGCAAAAACGTTCGCACCTAATTGGCCGTTCCGTTGCGAAATTTGGTTTTTAAAAAACAATAGTTTAACCAATTAAAAACGATCAGTCTGGGTTAATTGGGCTTTGTTATAGTTATGCAATTTGATAGGGAGTTTCAATGTCATTGAAATATAATTTATGAGGTGCGTTAAAGATTCAAAGTTCATTTTTAATTGATTAGAATAAAATTATAAATATGACTTATGCAATTAAAAATAATTATGACTTATGTAATTACAAATTTTAAAAAGATTTACTTTCACTGTGAAAAACTGCTTCCATATCGGATTTAAAAGCTTGTTAGTCCATTTTTAAGGTATAAATTTCGATTTCACACAAAAAAATTTGACATTTTCTTCCGGTAATACAGACTACCATTCTTACGGTTACTCTATTGTTTTATAAATGTCGCGGTATTCAAATATTTAATTTAAATATTTTTTAGATAATAATAACTATTTGTAGTATAAAAAGTATAGTACCTATTCAACTCGTTTTTAAACTTTTCAAGATACTCATTTAATTAAACACTCGTTCGCAAGCTAAAATGACGTTTATCAAACTTGATACATAATATACTATTTTTTGTAATAAAATAATCAATTTTATAATTATAATGTATATTATTATGCTTATATTCAGGAAAAAAAACCATATAGTGATATATCACTTAAATTTAATTTAAATTATATTATAAAAATGTTTTTATTGCCAATAAAAGTTTTTTAACACAATTCTATTCATAAAATCGGTTGTATACTATATATACAATGTATAGTTCAAAAATGCATTTTTGTGTGACTATTTTGAAAAATAATAGTATATTATGTATCAAGTTTGATAAACGCCATTTTATACACGAATTTAATTTAGGCACGAGCGAGCTTGCGAGCGAGTGCTTAAATTAATGAGTGTATAGAAAAGTTTATAAACGAGGTGCATTTTCTACGACAAATACTTATTATTATCTTAAAATGATTTAAATCAAAAATTTGTATAGAGCGCCATCTATGAAACAATAGTAGGGGAATATGTGTGTCACCGTCAAATGTCACATTTTTAAATTTTATAAACACATATTATAAAGGTTATAATTCGAAATGTATTTCTTGAAAATTGACAGTAAAGAAAATGTTTTATGAGGACTTTACAGTGGAGTCCGTGCCCGAATTTAAGTTATAGTTTACTGCCGGCGAAATTAAAAGGTCAGTACAATGTTCATATAAACTTTTCAAATATTGGCGTTGAGAAACTATTTAATACTTTTGTATTTTTGTATTGAGATAATAAAATAATTGTCACATTTAGTATTATTTTACAAGAAAGGCACTTTATTTTAACGATTAACATTGGACAACTGCCAACTAACTTAAAACTAACTTCAGCCCGTGACTAAAAACCTGTTGCTAACTTCAGCCCGTGACTAAAGCGCCATAAAGCCAGAACTTGTCAATGTGTATTTAAAAGGTCACTTAGTGTCATGGAAACATGTACGATAAAGGGCGTTTTAAAGGTGGGAGTAGAAAAAAATATTTATTAAAGTAATTTAAGTTTTATTGCAAAAATACGTTTTAAAACCTAAAAAGTCGTTTGATGTGATTTTTTTTTAAATTTTAACTTAATAAAATTTTTTTTTTAAAAATTGTTATAGTAGAAATGTATTTTCTCGTCCTAAAAACGTTTTCAGGCAATTGTATTCATAAAATCAGTTTTAAAAAACTGATTTTATGAATAGAATATATAGTTAAAAATGCATTTTTGTGAGGAGATATTGATTAATTTAACGTGTCAGATATTGGAATAAGGGTGACTTTGGGGACAAAATATTTTAACTTTAATTTTTTCGAGCCCCCTATGTACTAGGTAAAACTAAAAAACTTTTCTTTTTTTTTTTAAATAAAAAACTTAATTGTAGTAAATGTATATGTTTTAAAATTATCAAGCTTCCTTACTGGATACCGATATAAAATATCTTCACTCGCAGCAATAAAAAAAAGTCGTCATTAACATTCAATCCATCTAAACTGGTACGAATGTGTGATAGCATTGTAGAAGCGAAAGTATTTGATACCTACTTAATGCTGCTCCATGTTTGATAGCGGCGCTTATTAAGGAATTATTTTTGCAATAATCAAAACCCAATTAAAGTTTTAAATCGTCACGAAATCGTATTGCGACGAACTTGCGAAACTCGTAAACGCTTTTTCATGAGCTAGCAATTATCGCGAAATTGAGTGTTGGTTTGTTGGTAATGAACCTCGAATTCTAGTAAATATTTAGTAAATAAATTATTTTATTATTGGGTCGTTTTTAAAAAACACCCGCCTTCCGCTGTCGGTAAGTTTGAATTACAATAACTTTGTTAAAAATTATCGGATCTTATTGATTTAAAAACCAAGTGAAAGCCTAACAAGCCCTTAGTAAACTCTTTCAGAAAATGTTTGTTTAGTTATTTCAGAATAATTTTTTTTTAATTTTCAAACTTGTGAAACACACATTTTCGCATGTCCCATTAGGGTTTTATAAAACTTACATACATGTTTTTTTTTAAGTATTGAATAACCAGAACTTTGTGTTGCTTTATAGGAATCCATAACATCCTTAGTTAATAAAGTAAACAATTTATATATAAATTAATTAATTTTAATCTACTTTTTTTAAATTTGACTCATGCCCCAGACATTTTTTCCGTTGCGTTACGTCCGTCGCGTTACCGATAGAATATTTAAAAAAACCAACTTTTTTGGCACGTGATTAACAAATGATGTTCGGACGTACACATTACCCAGCTGAATTTATTTATTAAATCAGGAAGAAGATATCGGTTGAAAAAGGTGCGGGTAACGCGAATGTAATAATTGTTTGTCCGCTAAGTTACTCAAAAAAATAATAAAAATAAGGTAAGAAAAAATACTATTTTTCATGTTTATGTTTATTTTAGGGCACTAAAGCTTATTGAGAGTAATTAATGACTGTAATGTTTTATTATTATTTTTTAAATATGGTTTCACAAAACTTTGTCCACTGCGTTACCGAATCCATTACGTTACCTTATGGTAACGCAATGGAATTTTTCGACAACAAAGTGGATATTTACCGTCTCTTTTATTAAATGAAGTTTATGATAAACCAATTTAAAATTATTTGTGATTACAACTTATGATATAGATTACATCCAAGGGAAAATTCCACGCAATATACAAGTAATAAAAAAACGAAAGACCTTCATCAGCTTATAGTCAAAGAAAAAGGGTGTTTATAATTTAGAAATCTGTTGTTATTCTGCAAGTGAGCACCACTACAAGGGATTTTGTTTATGCATTACTCTAAAATCGTACCACCCTATATAGTTTCTTTTTATAAAAATCCAACCAAAAGTCAATTTAAGCAAAAAAAATTTGATCTTCATTTTCCTGAAGCGGGTGTTTCTTGAAAATTACCCTATTATACAGTGAACAAATTTATTAAAAAAGTGCCTTTTTCCCAACAAAACTTTCGTTTTTTTAATCCAGAGATTAGCGCACCATTATCCTCTAATATATACATCCGGGCCGCCTATTATATGAACGGCTAGGAGACGATATTGGCCTCTGAACAACGTTAGTCGATTGTCATCGTCACATGCTACGTCGATCCCTCGTCTGAATTCTGCAGATCTCAGTTTGGTCGCGGTTATTCGCTCAAAGTGCGCGGTCGCGAATGGACGTTGGCTGACCGAAGGCGAGATACCGAAAAAATCACTTTTGGTTGTTTCAGCGTGCCGACACCCCCGTTAACCGCGAGAAGTGAGGTAACTTGATTAAGACGTGCATTTTTGTTGTTGGTGTTTTTGACGTGAATGTTGTAATATTCGTGTTTAAAGGTAATTGAAACAATGTTTCTTTATGGGTGAAGTGCTGAAGTAATATTTTTATTGGTTTGGGTTGGTAAGTCAAGATCAACCAATTCACAATAAAAATTAGGTACCTACACAAAATTACAATAAAGGATTAAAGGCAAATAACCTATAATACCAGACTATAAATTAAATCTTGAAAGGATTTTAAACATCAGCAAATTAGTATGCTTAAAAACTTGAATACCTTGGTCGAAAATTATTTTGGATGATGAGATATTTTGATAAAATTTTAGATTGGTTTATATATAAAAAAATTCATGAGAACATCCGCTTTTATATCCTTTTGGATACAATGATAGCAGGATTTAATATTTATTAATAGGCTGTATTTTTTTTTATAAAAATGTAGATATTTTTGTATTTTTTCAAATAATTGTTTATTTTTTGCAAAAATGGTGAAGGCTCCGGGATTAATACGTGAAAAATAAAGGGTACATAGGTATGCACCTATTTTAAAGCGTTAACAAAAATTTATATAAAAAACAACAAAAATATATTTAAATTTTTATACAATTCATATTTTTAGACCTGTATTATAATATTATACAGTGTATAGTGTACAAAACAGTACTTTTAAATTTTACGTCAAAACGGTTAAAGTTACAGCCAAAAAGTGTGAAAGGCTTTTATAGGAAATTTAATTTCCTATAAAAAAGGTCGCGTGTAATAATGCAATAACATGCATAATTAAAAAGATATGGACAATTTAATAAATTTTACTCTCAAAATTGATAAACAATTATACCCTATGCTGTTTTACGCTACAACGGTTAAAGGTACAGGTAAAAAGAAAAAATAATTGTATGTGAAATTTAATTTTCTACAAAAAAGTTTTATGCAGTACGGCAATAAAATGTATAGTTTAGTAGATATAGAGCATCTAACAAATTGATAAAGTAGATAATTTTGTCAAAATTTGAGAGTTAAATCTATACAACTACGTAAACAAATTACCAGATGACATAAGGATGATGGACACTAAACTCTTTAAAAAGACAACCAAAAGTTTTCTAATCCAGAATGTTTTTTACTCAATTAAAGAATTTTTAAACTTTTAATATTAATCATATAATTTTTTATTTATTTGTTACTGTACTTATATACATTTATTATAATATGTGATGTTTCCTGTATTTTTATTTATTTATATGTATATTTTATATTTACAATACTTCTTTTTATATTATCATTGTAGACACGCCTTGTAAACAAACATTTGAAGGTTTAATAAACTTATTATTATTATTATATTATATTATTATTATTATTATATGCTCTATATCTATTAAAGTATTCATTTGATTGGAAAAATTCACAGAATCTTTTCATAGAAAATTAAATTTTATACAAAAAAATATTTAGCATTTTTGCAAAAAAATGTATAGTTTAGTAGATATAAAGCATTTTACAAATTGTTAAACAAACTATTGATAAAGCTTTAAAATTAACTACTAGTAGTTAATTTTATCAAAATTTGATAGTTAAATCTATTAAATGCTCTATATCTATTAAAGTATACATTTTACTAGAAACTAAATTTTCTACAAAAGAAGATTTATGGCTCAATACAATAAAATGTATAGTTTAGTAGATATAGAGCATTTAAAAAATTGATAAAGCAAGTATTGAAAAAGTAATTAATTTTATTAAAATTTGACAGTTAAATTTATTAAATGCTCTATATATTTTAAATTATAAATTTTATTGGAGACATTATTTAACTAATTGATCAAAAACTACATTTTGATAAAGTAGTTAATTTTATCAAAATTTGATAGTTAAATCTATTAAATACTCTATATCTTTTAAAGTACCTATACATTTTATTGAAAAAATGCACATGTGCAGAATCTTTTTTATAGGCAACTAAATTTTCTACAAAAAAAGATTTATGCATTATTTTAAAAAATGGATACTTTAGTAGATATAGAGCATTTAACAAATTGATAAAGCAAGTATTGAAAAGGTAATTAATTTTATTAAAATTTGACAGTTAAATTTATTAAATGCTCTATATCTTTTGAATTATAAACTTTATTGGATACATTTTTTAACAAATTGATAAACAAACTATTGATAAAGTAGTTATTTTTTTCAAAATTTGATAGTTAAATCTAATAAATGCTCTATATCTATTAAAGTATTCATTTTATTGGAAAAATGTACAATTTCTTTTTTAAATAAAACTATATTTTCTACAAAAAAAGATTTGTCTTAATGCAATAAAATGTATAGTTTAGTAGATATAGAGCATTTAATAAATTGATAAACCAGTATTGAAAAAGTAATTAATTTTATTAAAATTTGTCAGTTTAATTTATTAAATGCTCTATATCTTTTAAACTATACATTTTATTGAATAAATGTATAGAATCTTTTTTATAGGAAATTACCTTTTGTATAAAATTTGTACCACTTGGTTGCCTGTAACCGTTTTGCCGTAAAAGTCAAACAAAATTTATAATATTTTATAACATAAATATTTTTATAAATTGTCACTATATCTTGCTTTTAGTATATGTATATAACATTTTTATGCAAAACCCTTTCAACATTATACGACCTTACAGATAACAAACTATTATAATAGTCATTTGTAAAACCTAGATAAACCGTTTTATCAATTTTAAAGTTTGTTTGTGAATATACTACATTTTAAAAATGTATTGTCAATTTTTTAAATTTGGAGATTCCAAAAGTTATACGCAGAATTTTTTAATTTTTTAAAAGGAGGAAGCCATTTAAAAAAAATGACGTTATAAATAATTGCCATCACTGTAAATTGCCCGTTACCCGGTAAGCTTGCAACCGTATTATGTGTATGTAAACACACAGCGTCAAGATAAATAGGCCAATAGGTGAAAGTAAACTTGGCTATACAGGTGGTGCTGCAAAAGAAAAAACCGGGCGTCGATTTGCTTACTTAACGTTTAGTCTCCGCAAGTCGCTCGACGTGCAAGCATCAACAACAAAAATGATGAAGTGTTAACAATTTACTCCAGAACAGAATTTGAAATATCGCGGTGTTTTTTAGGTTAAATTTTGGTAGATAAAAGTGAAATGTTGCAAGTATGGACCGCCATTGGATTACTAGTGTTTTATCTAGCTAACAGTGTTACAAGTCTGGAAAATGGCCTCGCCAGGACCCCACCAATGGGGTGGCTCGCCTGGGAGCGCTTCAGATGCAACACCGACTGCAAGAACGACCCAGAAAATTGCATCAGGTAAGAAACTCAAAACACAAAACATAACCTACAACTGTCACTTTGACATCCGTAATTTACGTGAAAACCCCCACGTGCTAATGCATATTTTACGTTAAGCTCCCCTGCGTGAAACATCATTTTCTATTTTCGCTAAAAACGCGAAAAATCGATTTTTTTCTTTGTTGTTACCTTTTATAGTTTGTTCAATAAATAAGAAAGTAACCTTGTCACTTTAGAACTAATGCAAACAGTTGGCAACCTTTCATTACTGGTTCAGCAGATATTTTCCTATTAAATCTATTAAATCAACTATATAACGATATATAGACCAGTGGCGTAGCTAGCCTCGAGGGGGCCCCGTATCAAAAATCTGGTAGGGGCCCTTAAACGGAAAAAGCTGCTAGCAAAAGTTTCTGGGTGTCACGCTCAATGTCTATTTTGGGCAAATAAAATTTTTTGCATTTACCAATTTTTAATAATTTAATAAATAATATATGTATACAAAGCTTTTTATGTACCGTAAACACGGGTGGCTTTGCACCCCGCGGGTGACATTTATAATTTGTTGGTCTAAATCTGTCAATTGAGCGATTCTATTAAGTTTATATTAAGGAAAACCAGTGTTTTAAAGAAATAAATGGGATTTATTACACTTTAAAATTGTTTTTATTGCATCAGTGCAGAACTCTTAGAAATACACGAGGTACAATTTCTATATATATATATTGGGCGAAATCCTTTGGAATGACGATCCTTGGTTAACTACAGGTCGATTTTTAATTTTTTTATCGGTAAATCCTTGCAATCGCTATATGTCGCTGCTAACATGTGTTTAATAAAAATAAAATATAGAGTTTATTTTATACGGAAAATACACTGTGAGACAAAGTGACCCGCAACTTTGCACACCCAGTTTTGTAATTTTTATTTTTGAAACTCAGCCCTACGTAATATTATAACATATTTATTATAAAAGAGCAACTCAAATTTTGGTATAAAATATTTAATGTTTATGATTGTTAAAAACACAAAAATTTAAAGCTTAATTTTAAAAGTGAGCTAAAGCCACTCGTGTTTACGGTAGAGGCAAATTTTAAAATTTGGTTTGGTTTTAGACATTTACCGTTCTTCAACATCTTTTAAAAGGTTACTATTTTAAAATAAAGGCAAGTCTTTTAAAATAATTGTCGTTTAATGAATCAAAGTATAAACATTTAAATAATAATATTATTTATTTATTTAATTAATTTCATGCCTCAATTTTTTTAACATGCGGGTAATATGTTTTTTGCTTACGCATGTCGAAGCCAATCGGGGGCCCCCCTAGCCGGGGGCCCCGTATCATTGATACGGCTGATTCTGCGGTAGCTACGCCCCTGATATAGACTTACTATGAAGTTATAATAAAATACTGATTTAGCAGATTTTATTTTTTATATTATTGTTTGAAGAAAAAATGCAACAAATAAAAAGCTGTATTTTTAATCGCCTAATCTAAATATAATTTCCAACTCATAAAAAAGCATACTTTTGTTTATTAACTTAAACACCCTGTATCTCGAAAACAAGCTTTAAAATATACAAGTTCATATAAACTTTTCTTCTTAATTATGCAAGTTCTATTAAATTTTTTCGATTAAAATCTGAGACACTCTGTATATTATTGACAGTGCTGAAGCAATGCCTCCTTATTGGTGATTTTAAAAATTAAATAGCTCCTATAATTTTAATAATTCAAAAAAAATATAACATCAAAAATATTGTATCGCGTTTCTATAGGTTAATTTAATTGTTGAGCCACTCTGTATATTAATGCAAAATAATAAATTATATTAAACATTTTTGTAATTTTTCTTATGTATTATACAAATGCCAGGGAAGTTAAGAATATTTTTTTTAATACAAATTCTTGGTGAAATATTTAATAACATATTCAAGATGAATTATTTTTTTAAAATTTAAATATTTAGCAACCTCCTACACACACACATATATATATTATATATATTAAAATATTTGTTATAAAAACTACGATTTTTGTAATTTTAAACATTTCAAAGGTTATAATCATTTTACCGTAAAGCTATATCCTTGTATAAAAAATTACATTTGTATCTCAAACATATATTTAAATATTAATTATTTATATGAATATTATTAAACACAAAACACAAACTAAATATCAACATATGTACAGGGTGATCCCCTGTAATGTCGCCCCCCTTTAACTTTTTTATTTTAAGTGTCCCAAAAAATTTAAAAGTGTGGTTATGTAGGTACTAAAAATACTTTTTTTCTATGCATAAAAAAATGGAAAATTGATAAATATACAGGGAAAAACAAAAAGTTTTTTTTTCAATGGATCACCCTATATGTGAATTTATTTTTCGACTCCTTGTAAAATTCTAAGCATAATTCATATAACAAACCATACACCTAAACTCAACCGTTTCTGAAATATTTGCATTCGAAATGTTATCATTAAATGTTTTTTTAAACTGTTAGAAATCAAGAAGCCTCAGTATACCAAAATTTTTATTGAAAATAAATTACTATAGTGATATTATGTCCATATGTCTTGTTAAATAAGTAAAAATAGCGTACTCAAAGACAAACTATTTCAAATTATTATCTTAAAAATAATTGACATATTTCAGAAACGGTTGAATTTAGGTATGTTATATGAAATATGCTTAGAATTTTATAAGGAATCGAAAAATAAATACATTGAAAAAAAATAAACTTTTTGTTTTTCCCTGTATACTGATCAATTTTCCAATTTTCTTTATACGTAGAAAAAAAGTATTTTTTAGTACCTGCATAACCAAACTTTTTGGGACATTTAAAATAAAAAAGTTAAAGGAAGGCGACATATAGGGGATCACCCTGTACATAGCTTAGCATATATAGCATATATTAGCATATATATAATATAATAATGGATTTAAACGGTTTTCAGTCCATTTTGGGAGATGGAAGAAATTTCGATTCTCAAAGGAAAATTTAACAAACTAACACCGACATTGTCAATTGTGAAAATTCTTGACGAAAATGGCGTTTATTAAAATTGTATAATGTCTAAATGTATGTTTATTACCTATATCTTAAAGTAATATTACAATTTATTTCTGTTTTACATTTTAGTTCATAATGCATAAACTCTTTTTTGACATTTAATTTAGTCCATATCTATCTATTTAACTTACACAATGAACTCCGTTATCGTTTGGTATACATGTACAAATATATAAGGTTTTAAAAAAAACATTTTTAACTTTTAATATCTTTCTTTTTTACAATAAAATCGTTATTTAATTACCACCAAAGAAATGGCGTCTTTATAAGAAAAATGTTTTTGTTTGGTTATTTTTAAGTAGAGATGGGAAAATTCCCATTTGACGAAAATTCCCGGAAACTTTCCATCGAAAATTCCCGAAATTTTCCGAAAGTTTCAAAAAAAATAATTTTTTATTGCGAAAATATTTTTTTTATGATAGGGATTTGCATTAACTTTTTGTCAAATTTTATTAAGAAAAAAAATAAAAAAAATGTTTATAAGAATGTAACTGCAATACTATTTTTAGTATCTTTTACTTTGGAATATTCCTATTGTACGTATACTGAAACCTACAAAATAAAAATAAAATGTTTACTATTAGAAATTCACTGCTAGTAAATCCTAGTAATAAAAATTAAAAGGGACAAAGTAACTAATATACCTATGGGAATATTGAAAAGTAAAAAGTAAAGTAAAAAATAATTCCAAACACTAGATTTTTCTCTTGGCATTATGCTATGCCTATAAATAAACAACAAAAATGTAAGAATGATTAATTAATTAATTAAACAAAGTTAAAATTTTAACTTTGTTTATTGTTTTTATGCTGGCTTCATTGAGGTTATGTAACATAACTTACATTATTTATACAGTATAAGTATAAGTATAAATTATACTTCTTCTTCTGCTTTAAATTAACACACATTAAATTTTATTCAAAGTTTCTTGGCCTTGTATCATGGCCTTAACGAAAATCAGCGGTTAAACAATTGACATTTAAATGAAAAAAACAAGGAAAGTTTCCAAGGAATGCTTCCAAGGAATGTTTCCGGTAGCTTAAAAGAAACTTTCAAAATGAAAATAAATTCCCAATTGGAAACTTTCCAAAACGGAAAGTTTCCTTAAAATGGAAACTTTCCGATTCCCATCTCTATTTTTAAGTTCTAAAGTTGGTGTTTTTGGTACATAATTTATACACAAGGTGTACTTAATAATATACAGAGAAATGGTAATGGCAATTTTTAAATATTCTAGGAAATAAGAATAACATATTTTTTTAAATTTTGGTAAACCCCATTTTTTAAATTTTAATTTAATCTTGTCTGATAAATAAGTCTTGAACTTCAAGGGGGCAAGTTTATTTTAAAATAAAAAAAATAAATGTTAATTTTAAATATTATTTAAATAGATAGATAGATATGTAAAAAATTCAATTTTTGTAAACCAGTAAAAATTAATCGTTTGTAATTTTTAACTAAATTTCTCTTCCGGAGTAATTAACAATTTCACACACGAAAATATTGTTACATAAAAATAAATTATATAATTAAATACTAAAAATGTCCTTCACAAATAAAAATGTCATTTAAAAAGTTACATCTTTTAAATGCAATAAAACACTTTATCTAATATGTTGTTAAACTTGAAATTTATTATGTGTTAAAATAAATTTTACGTTTTACCCAAATTTAAGATTTTGTAAGACTTTTCCAACAGTATTAAAACACAATAAATTTAATAATGAAAGTAAAACTATATATCATAATTTAACAACATCTGTTTGGCAGACCACTACATTTTATGTAAATTAAATTAATACAATTTTTTATCATAATCTTCTTTCCATTGTATCTACTTTCTAAAAAATATAAAAAATAATAGTCGAGTTTAATTTCAGACTGTTATTAAGTATAATTACAATTTTAAAAATAATTGTTTTGGGAAGTAAACTTCATCTATTTGTTAAACCATTTTTCGAATTTGTATGTTATTAAGTTATTAGAATAAATTTTGTTTTAAATTTGTAAATTTTGGGTAGTTATACAATAATAATTCTTGTTACAAATTGAATTGTCTTGTATATAAATACTTAATGACAAAGAATTTAAAAAAAAATATGATTTATAGTTTTAATTAACTAATGAATTTTGAATAATTTTTACACAACCTTCCAATTTTCTAAAATTTAGAAACTACTTAAAATAAATATTAACAATTTCTTTATCTGATTTACACGCTTTTTTAATATCTCTACGGTCAATATATTTTAGCGTCAGCAAATTTTAATTTATTAAAATAAATAATTTATTAAAATAAAAATTTAATATTTATTAATAATAATTTGTTATGAAACTTTTCGACTTCCGTATAAAATAGGAAATTACGTTGAACCAAATAAAAATAATAAAGCACGAAAATTAGTTCCATAAAAAATAAAACTTATTATTTTTTATTGTGGGTTTTTTTTTGTGAAATTTATGCATAGCGATTATAAGATAAAACTGTAACATTTTTTAAAACAAGTCTAGAATAACTAACTATGTATTCTTTTTTAAGACAATGGAGGTGAAATATTATTTATCACACTTTTTTACCATGTTAAATGTTAAATTATTTAAATACAATTTTCGTTTAAATAACAAACATTTTGTAATACTACATAAATTAAGAATTAAACATAGCAAAAAAACTTAAGTAATTAATAAATAAACAACAAACTATCATTACAAAATTGTTTCTAAAACTTAAAACTCTTTAAGGTATAAAACCAGTCCTAAAACATTTAAATAATGTTTTGTAAATTGTTAAATTTTTGAACACTTGAGACAATGAACAAAGATCTCAGAACAGGATAAAAAATTGTACCAAATTTCGGGCAACATTTTTTCAATAGATACCATCTAACCTACGAACTTTTTCTTTTTGCTGTACATATTAATATTTAGGAAAATGTGGGTTAATGTATTTATTAACACATTTCGCAACACCCATAAGTAACAATATTATATCCATTATGCGAAACTTGGTGTTATAGTTCTCTGATTGGAATTTTAAATGTTGTTTTTATTGTTTGATTTTGTTCGAGTTCCCTTTCATTGTTATCCCACGACTTTCTATTTACTTAGGTGTCCCTGGGGCCAGTCGTGGCTAAAAAATGTTATGAAATCAATGGTTTCAAAAAACTTCATTCAGAATTTTTTTAGCGAAAATTTGTTCAGAACGATGGCCGATATAGTGGTATCGGAAGGATATGCCGCAGCTGGTTATGAATACGTTAACGTGGATGATTGTTGGTTGGAAAAAGAAAGAAATCAGTATGGCCAACTGGTAGCCGACAAAACTAGATTTCCCAGGGGAATGAGATCACTATCGGATTACGTAAGGAGATTTTCTTTCGTAAAGCAACGTTTTAATGATTTTTTTTTCGCAATACTTAGATTCACTCCAAAGGACTTAAGTTCGGTATATACGAGGACTATGGCAACTACACATGCGCGGGATATCCAGGTGTTCTGGGGTACTTGCAAACAGACGCTGATACTTTCGCGTCTTGGGATGTGGATTATGTTAAACTGGATGGTTGTTACGCTCATCCAAGTGAAATGGATCAAGGTTACCCTGAATTTGGTTTCCATCTCAACAGGTAAACTATATTTGAGTTTCAATCAAAATCCTTGTTTTGTTGTTCTTAGAACTGGAAGGCCAATGATTTACTCTTGCTCGTGGCCAGTGTATCAAATATACGCGGGGATGCAACCAAATTTTACCTCCATCATTCAGCACTGCAACGTGTGGAGAAATTTCGATGATATCCAGGATTCTTGGGCTAGTGTGGAAAGCATCATCGACTACTACGGGAACAATCAGGATGTGATTGTGCCCAATGCAGGTCCTGGACATTGGAATGATCCTGACATGGTAAGTTTTACTTTAGGGTATTTCCACGAAACCTCACCCCACCTTAACAAAAAATCAGATGTGTTTGCATTATTAATATTATTAATTATAATTGTTTTTACGTAGTGTGGTTCGTTAAAAGTGTTTTTTGTAGTAATTGTATGTTGTTATAGCGTCAAATAATTTGACTCAAATTTATAACGGTTCCACCCTGGGTTAGATCATGGTACCAAGGTAGATCATGGTGCCTACACAAGGAGTCCGAACATCATGTAAACAAGAATCTTAAGATAAGAGGTGTTTCGTTTATTCTGAACCAATTGTTTAATTTTTACCGAAACGCTAGCATCGACAATCAGCGCCGCTGGTGGTGAAAAAAATAAACTTAATTTGTACAACTTGGAGGGCTGGTTTTGTTAATTTTTCCTATTTAGTTCGGGCTCCTTGTGCAGGCTCCATGGGTTAGATACTGGTTTGTGAATAAAAATCGTTCGTTTTTTTTCAAAGAAAGCTAATGTAGAATTTCATTTTCAAACATTGGCAAAATATCGTTGGTGATATTTTATAAATTAATTTTTTGTATTTTTTTTTATTTAATAATAAAAGTAAAAAAATAAATGTCACTAACGTTGTTTATATATATCCCACAAAGGAACGTAAATGTAACTTAAGCGACAAGACTAATTTTAAATTTTTCTAAAGATGTTCTTATAAAATATCATATGCCACAAAATTTAATGAAAATTTTAGATTGGATTCGATCTTACTTAAATATTTGAATTCTACATTAATAAAATAATGCCTCACCAGTTTTCAGATAAATAACTTTAAAAATAAAGCTCCCACACAAAAAAATCTCTCCTGTAAAATTTACGTTTTGTCGCTTACGATGTTTTGTCAAATAACCATCGATATGCTTTCATCCAAAATTTTACAGTATCAACTTTAGAAGCCAACTTGGTTGCATTTGCCGATTTTTTAAGGTCGCGCCGTTACGCTATTCATGACGTTATAAAATGCTTTCTATACAAGTTTTTATGGACATTTTGTTTGAGTTAAATACCTAATTTTTTATACTATTTTTTTATATTAACGTATCTTGATATATATGAACAAACACTTTATTATCATGAAAAAAACGCAGTTTTAGTGTAGCACCCGTTACAATGGAAATACCCTTTATTATTCGTATTACCATAAAAACATATAAAACCTGTAGACATGGTAAATAAAAAGAGACCTCAATTAGCGTGAGAGACGAACCCGTATTTTTATTTTTATAAATAATAAAAATGTAACAATATTGTGTCTATTTACAAACGTGCAATGCTTCACAAGTCTAAGTTTTTGATTATTGTTAAACAATTTGATATTTATAACGAGAAACTGAAATAAATAATTATAAATCCTGTATTATACAAAGTGAGAAATCTACTAATCTGAACTTGAAAAATCAAAACTGGTTTATTTGTTTATAATACTCAACCCGAAAGTGTTACAAACGTTTTATTGTAAATTCGTAATGCCAAATACGTACCATTGCACAACGCAAAATATATTAAGGTCACAGAATTCATAAATGTTGCCTGAAAATTATCGTACGCATTTTTATGAATTTATAATAAGCACGCCTTCCATCATGCAAAAAGTTGCCTGTGGGTTGGACTTGGGCCTTTTATGGGTCAAACGTTTTCAATAAAACACGCACAACATGGAATCACCTCCGTTTACAGCTCAGTTGCCAAAAATTGTTTATCTATTTTGCGTTCATAATGACTTCATTATAACACCGCTTTCGGTGCTGTAATGAGATACTGTATCCCACCCAAAATTTTGATTTTATAGGTTGGATAAACAGCATAATATTTTGCATATTGGTTATAATATTTTTATGATTTTTCTAGTACTTACGAGACTTTTCTGGCAATAAATTTTGTTTAACACCAAAGAAAACACTTTTTTTCTTCTTTAACATTAACAGCCGCTTATTGTAAATAAGTAAATTAAGGACGGCATGGCGAATCGATTTTGACATTAACTGTCAAACGAATGACTGTGATACCAACTATCTAAAGTAAAATTCGACCAAATTAAATTTAAGGTATAATTTTTTTTATAGAATTTTTGCAAAATATATAAAATAGAATAAAGAACTCATGTCATAAGACTTTTTGTCGCACCCGTCCATTAGAAAACTCGCTCCTTCGTCGCTCTTTTTATAAATTGTCTGCGTGCGACAAAATGACGTCTTATGACATTAGTTCTTTAATATAAAAAATGGTATATCCGTCGATAAAGCTATTATTATTAATATTATTATTATTATACTATTATGAATGTTTTAAAGTGGCCTTCTTGTTCACCGGATCTTAATCCAATTGAGCATAAAGTTAATAAAAAGGCTTACTACATAAGTTTGGCTGTTGGTATTTTAACATGTTATAACATATACAGGGTGATCGGAAACTAAACAAAGAACAGCAAATTTATGGAATGTTTTGGTTTTACCACTATAGACACAATCACTTTTATGGTTTTATCTGAACGGACAAAGTGTTAAATATTTGTTTTTACAGTTAGGAATTCTTGAAAAAAAAATATCGCCCGTAACTGTACCTTAACATAAGCTTAATGTATATTTAATTAAGATATTGCTTAATGACATTGTAAGAACTTATCCTAATTTAATTTTAAAAAAGATTGAATGCTTATAATGATTTTTAACGGCTCTAGTACACAAAACACTATTATTACGTTTCCTATTTAAATCAGTTAATTACGTTTTTCATTAAATCTGTTTTAATTCGTTTTATTAAATCTAATTTTTAACTGTTTCCGTACATAGCAATTTCGGTATAAATTTAACTGTTTTTAAACCATAAAAACCGATTTAGATTAAAAGAAAATTATGTTTTTATTCTCATTATTTTTTTTTTTGTAAGAAAGGTCAGTTTTATCGCGTTCCATCAAGGTCACACACGAAAAGGAGGTTGACCAGATTGACCTTTGGTATAGGCGAGACATTAATCAAAAGACTTATGTTTTGTCACGCGTTAAGGTGCAGTTAAAAACAAATGTAATAACATATCCTTCCTTATAAGGTCATTCTTCGACTTATATGAAGTTACATGTTTTTATAAACAGGAAGACCTAAATGTAGGTGACAAATTGCATTGCGTTATGTTCTACAATGTGTTGTATGTTAAATGGTAATTTATTAGTTGAACCAGACATTGTTTGTATGACAGTAATATAATGAATATTAATTACATATTTGGCTTTAAAGGACGTTTTAATAGTATTGCTCACCTTGTATGTACAATGTACATTGTACATACAGTAACCGGCAAAATTATGGAAAAAAAATATTGAAAAATTCGGCTTCACTGCTGTTAATTACTGTTAATTTAATATCTCTGCATAACTTCTGATTTTATTAGACTGTAAAAACCTCTTATTTGCTAATAAAGGTAAGATTTGTGACATATCCTGTAATTTATTAGCTTTTTAATTTGTCTTCAGTTAATTAAAACAAAATTGTGCAATGAGTTTTCAAGGTCTGAAGTCAAAACAAAGTACCCAACTACACACGGTGGTCAAAACTTAAGTATAGGACGAACAAAAATGCCAACCAAAACTGAACATATTTTGATAATAGACCCTTTTGGTAACACTAACATGTATTTATCAAAATCCCAGCTGATCCTATTTTAAAGTTTTGCAAACTTTTTTGTTTTTCTATTTCTATATATTATTTTGCAATTATTGTACTAAAACTACCTGTACAATTTTAATAAAATTAAGCAAAGTAATAAACTTTGTATCATTTAAATTACTTTACTATTATTTAAAATTATTAATTTATTGAGTCACCTATTATTTTTTACCAGTCAAAACAAAACATAACAAAAAAAACGAAGATTTATATCTTAAATATTTTTTATAACAAAAAATACTGGAAGTTTGTCTATGAAATAATTACAACTTGCAAATTTTGTAAAACAATAATTAAGGTGGTTATGAAAAAAATTGCTATACGTTATAACGCAAGTGACATTTTGCTTTAGTTGTTTATTTAATGTATACTTTATAAAGTTGAAAATAGTATTTTAAAATGAAAATTAAACCGAAATTCAAGTTAAGCCATGAACAAAATCGAATAAAGGTATGTGCTGGCTGTGGAGACAAAATTGTTTTTGGTAATCAAAAAATTCAGAGTTTAGGGTTTCTGAGAAAATATAAAAATTACTGCAGACTTTTTCAAACGAACTTAAGTGATTCAAATTACCTACTTCAATATGGTAAAAACGGTATTTTTGCATAGCCACAATTGCCAAATTTTCAAAATTTAGAAATTGCTAGAGAATTTCGCGGCAGCCAAGAATGTATGTATGTGCTTTATCTGCAAAATGTCAAGATATAAAGGACATAAAAAATTATTAAGGGAAGAGGACGGACGAACGAACTAAAGTTTTGATATGCTCTTCCTTTATAGGGGATATCGCTAGATGTAAGAAGCATGTTTGTACAGAGACTGAAGAATTTAAAAATACTGTTTCCACGTTAAAAACAATTCAATGTAAAACCCAAGAAAAAGTTTTACTGAAAATTTAAGGCAAGCAGTAATCGATTTTGAAAGAAAGAATCTTTAGTTATTTATTAGTTTTGTATTAGGTACCTTAAAACAATAAATAAGATATTGCAAACTGTATTTTACATTATTTTGTATTTATAATATAATTTATCAGGGGCGGCTAGTGCATAAGGGCTGCAGAGCTGCAGAACTCCCAAAATTTTCTTATTACTTGACTAATTTTTTTAATTATTTAATATTTAAGTGCGACAGTGTATGAATATTTTAAACGCATGGCTGCATAAAAAGTTTTTATTATAAACATTTGCCGTGTCGCCGTACTTGGCCACTACAGTCATCCAAACGACCGGTAAAGGTCTCTAACGCTTAACGCTTACAGTACAACAAAGCTGGGCCACTTTCGTGTTCTGGCTCCCATTTCAATACC